ACAATTGGAGACAATATGAAGACAACAGTCAGTCATCAAGTGATCACTTGTTTGACACAAAACAGCGCCAAAACTGCAACAAAACACAGCCTTCCTATTGGACACACCATTCACTCCACTCTCCCATTGGCTGAGCACTCATTGGGCGCTCCTTTCAAACCATACACTCTATACATGCGGTCATTGAAAGGTTAGCAAAGTATAGGTATTTCATAGATTTATTGACAATTTAATTCAATTTATACTTTATATCGCTTTATATGAACCGTAATATAACGTGTAATTCAAACAAATAAGTCCACAAATCCGCAAATTATTACTTCAATTAAATCCGAAATTTATTAATCAATTATTATAGCATACAGTATAACCTTATTTTAAATTACAATTCAATTAAATAACAAAAAATGAACTTAAATTAACTTAATATTAAAATAATAACATTTCAATAACAGAAACTTATGACAAATAATAAAGGTTTCACTTGAACTGTGCTTTAATTTGGTATAATTATGGTTAAAATAAATGTAAATCCTGTTCATACGAATTAATCAAAACATAATTCTCAAATGATTTAAATGAATACTGAAATAAATCCAAAAAATTTCATGTTAACAGCAATTTTGTAATATAATTTTCGTGTAACTTAATTAAATTAATTTGCATTTTAACTCATATCTAATTGTATTGTAATTTGCATTCAAATTGAATTGATTCATAAGTTATTAAATTAAAAAATGAATTAATTGTCGCAAAACTGACGACGAGTTGAGGAAATAGTATTGAAAAAATTGATGTCATTTTACTGTCATATTTGTTGAGTTCTTTACAAACATATAAATTAAACAAATAGTTGTTTTCAATTCATTTAAAAATTTAATGAAACTATTTCTAAGCGGTCTTCGCTCTAATGGCGGCTCTCTTTCCGGTGACGGCTTGGAAGCCGCTCTTGATATTAGTGACCGAACGGCGCGAACCACAGGTTTCGCACTGAAGGAAAAAAAGACGCGTCTCTTTCTGGAGGATTGTGTCCGGCGATCGACACGTCTGACACGCCACGTATTCCTCTGCAGTCAACAGGTAATTATCACCAATTAGTCAACATTTTACAAACAAATAATTAGACAACAAGTACTGTAAACATATGAATACTGACTGATATATCTCCGGAGAACGCTCTCGATTTGCTTTTGTTGGAAACGACCCTTAATTATGAGCTGATTGTTGGCATCCACTGAACCACTTGTGCCCAACTCTGTCAGAAGGAAGGCCTGCATGTGTTTGGGTTGTCTGTGAAGTCTGTCACACAAACAAAGAGTTGATAAATGAACTCAATTTGTGGCGCAAACAATACATACGATTTACAGATGTCTAAGAAGTTGGCGAACGAAGACTTCTTAGTGCCGACGCGTAAGACCTGCGGCGGTCTCATAACGAACTTCTTCTTAGTTCCCGCGTCTATCTCCGGGTTCTTCTCTTTGATTATATTGAATACGATTTCCAATAACTCGTCGTAAGTGTAGTCGCGATCCGATTCCAACCACTTATTCGCCGAAACACTTCCGGCGAGCGGCGAACCCGTCGACGGCTGTCCGTCCGTACTGTCGACCGTCTCCTGAGCGCCCGTTTCCGTCTCGTCTGTCGCTTCGGAAACGCCTTCAAAGTTAACGATCTTTTTCTTCTTCTTCTTCTTTTTGCTAAAATCAAAGTCGAGGTCGTCTTCGCCGGCGTTGTCCGCCTCGTCAGCCATTGTCTGTCGCTCTTCGGACGGACTCAACGTTTTGCCGTTTTCTGCGAAACTGTTTTCCTTATCGACGGGCAAAGAGTTCTCCAATTCCTCGAAGTTATACGTCTTCTTCTTATTCTTCTTCTTCTTCATACCCGAGAAGTCATTCAAGTCTTGCAGCGACTCGTCTTCCATAGCGTCCTCTCTGTCCGCGTCCTTCTTGAGGCCATCACCGGCCTCTTCGTTGCCCTCGAGTAGACTCATGTCGAACGGCTTCTTCGTCTTCTTCTTCTTCTTCATATTTGGATCGAAAATCTAACGCAAAGGCAATCATATATGAGATCAAGTGTGCCATCAATTGAGTCCAACAATGAGATCACGTACTGATTCTTCGTCGGCCATGATTTGGGACAAACACTTCAACTAAACTATACTAAAGTGATTGAAATGGTGTTTCAATTGTCTACTGAGTGGTCAGTCTTTGCTTATGAACTCAATATCAATGAAAACAAGTGTTTTGAAGACAAATGAGTGGTAAATGTGTTTGCAATGCATATAATGGATGACATCATAAGAGTGCCATTCATTGCATTCATTGCCATACATGAGACCAGTGGTGACACCGGTGTCGACAATACACACCACCACTGCCTGTGAGCCCCAGTTGTGGCCATTGACTGGTTGTCGACCCAAACACGTGGTGTCTCTCACTGTCTATAACACTGCCATTGGATTCAGTGAATGATGTAATGTTTAGCCGGGATTTCGACATTCAATTCATTCATACGATTGTAATTGGATTTCATATTTTAATTGATATTTCAGTAATACTTGTAAAATATTTACGGTTTAATATTCAGGAAGTTAGAAATAATTTATGTTACAGTATACACACATTATCAATGAGAATTCCGCATGCAATTCTGTAGAAATATGAGCAAGGTACTGTACTGTATTAAGTTTCGAGGTTTGTACTGTAAGGAATATGACCCATAGTACAATTATGGTATAATATTTATGAATATTACAACTTGTTGATTTCAAATAATATATTGTGTACGTATAACATGCATATTAAACATGTTTTAAGTTGTTCATTTTATCACAATTGATTTATTACATCAAAGTTTGTTGTACAGTATAAAAATAGCAAGTGCAATTCTTAAAAATAATTTCATTTGCAAAAAAATACAATATACCCAAAGAATTTCATTAATTAATCATTTTTAATTGTCAGACATAACATAAAGTTCACAATATATTGTAACTATAATTTGAATTTGAATCAAATGTTTGTAAACTATTATATTTATATTCTTGAAACTTTACAACAAAAATAACTATTGACTAAAAAGCTTACAGTATTTATAAAAGTGTTGCACTTTATTGAACTGATTGTCAAACAGAGGTTATCAAAGGAGTAAAAGTTGTATTTTTGGTGCAAAGTTCTTAGTGTTTGTAAGGGTCTGTCGCTCATAATTATGTCATTTTTGGTTCAATTGAATATTTTTATATTGGTTTGTATGTCAACTCTAATCTCATGTCTGATCGCTTCCACGTGAATGTGAATCACATTTTTTTGAATTCAATGAGAGAATAGAAACTAAAACATATCAAATTGAAAATATAGTGATTTTAAGTCATTCCTATGAGTAATCTTAGCTATGATAGAGTCAACCACTTTATACACTGCTTTGACATATATTTTATGTCCATTGCCATTGTCTTTACAGCACTTTTAAACCTAAGAATTGCTTGGATTTTCATGTCATTTCCATTTGTTTGTCATGTTTGATGAATTAAGCCCACAATATATCCATTATTTATCATTCACTTTGAATTATGATTATTTTATTCAAACAAGTTTGTATTTGTTAAAGTATTTCTAAACCTTTTTAATGTTATTCTAATCACAAATCAAAGATTTCTCTAATAAGCGGTGAATAATTGTAATTAATTTGTTCAGCCATTAACCGGGGGACTTTATAACTCAGAATATCCAAGTATTTCAAATTGTTTATAAGTCTTCCTAGCTTATTCTTTGATAGAAAGTTGGATTGATATTTAATTTTCAGATATCGATGAAGTAGATAAATGTAAATATTTTGCTGCAATCTAATTTTAAAAATTTAACATTTAGTTCTTAATTGATTATATTTTTATTTAAATGACTTACTTAACCATTAGTTTGTTAATTAATTTTGGTCGCTCGGGATTGAAAAGCACAATAGCTGTTAGCTATATTAATAACAATTAACATTAAAAATAAAACAAATTATTTAAAAATAATTGATGTCTTAATATACAACCAAATCAATGATGATTGTGTCTGAATCCCAATCGAGTCCCATATTCTGGAGAAAACTTTTATGAGTAGAATAAGTACTGTTGACGGGAGAGACGGGAATCTCTTTGAATAGATTTAGTCTTAATAGATGTGAATCATTATTCTGTAAATAAGTATTGTTTATAACATTTTTATGTTCTTAATGCATTTTAAAAACCAATTACACTGTAATTATTACAGGTACAATTATAAACTTATTAGATTTAGTCTTAATAGATGTGAATCATTATTCTGTAAATAAGTATTGTTTATAACATTTTTATGTTCTTAATGCATTTTAAAAACCAATTACACTGTAATTATTACAGGTACAATTATAAACTTACAATGATAATATTCCAATATTCGTATTCGTAATTAAAATAAGGAAGCATTCGCAAGATATTAATTTCGATGGCTGAATGTTTAATCAAAATTTTTTGATCACTTTCACAGATATTATTAAATGTATCCAGGCATTTGGACATTTTGACAATATTTTGCGCTTCAATTTCCACTTTAGACTGAAGAATTGCAAATGCCTTCCGAAACGTGTCCACAAATGTTTGGCTAATTATGTCGACTGACTTTTCCAAATGCTTCAATGCATTTAATAATTCACTTAATTTATTGTCCTCTAATTCATTGAAATATACGCTATAATCAGACACTGGATTTACAATAGGCATCAGTGAATGGTTTAAATTGTTCTCAATTATTTCATTGTTATTATTGTCTGTTTGAATATTTTCTTCAGCACTGACTTGAGTATTAAAAGTGTTAATTTCTAAATTATCGCAAGAATTGGTTATATCTTGTGATTTCTCATCACTCGACACAAGTCTCTTCTTGTGAGCAATCATTTGATTCTTTCGTTTCTTATTATTTTCGATTAAAGCTCTTCTTAACTCCTTTTGTTTGTCAGAATATATAAGTTTCTAAAGTTCATCACAAATAAATTGACAATATTTTTTAAATTATTTAACAATAGCTAATATTCTTACACTTTCCATTCCCATTTTGAAACACTTTTTTAAGCGACACTTTTTGCAAAGTTTTCTATTCTTATTCTGATAATGTATTTCACAATTTCCGCCGAAAAAGCACTGGAATAAGTCCTAATCTCAATGAGAATAACACAGAATATTATATTTAGTACACTGTTCATATAATTAACTAAATTATTTACCATATTTCTCAATGCATTTCTTCTAAAAAATGATTTACACGACTCACAACTTATGACATCGAAGTGATAGCCTATGTTTAGATTAAATAAATAAAGTAATATTAACACAACACAAATTATAATTTTAAAATATTATTATACCGTTTGATTTGGCTCCACATATTACACAAATTTTATTTTGTGTTTCACTCATTTTACATAAACCAATAAACAGAATAACTTATTAAAATATTAATTTATTCACAATCATGTTATTTGTGAAAGTTTGTACAGTATTAATATTAAATACAGTATATTCTTATAACTTATTATGCAGCCATTTGCAAATACAGCCTAAGATCTTGATAATTTTTATCATAGCTTTTAAGTTTACATTCAAACATCAAATAAAATCATTTATTATAAACTAATTAAGGCATAAAAAAACAAAATCATTTATTGAGGTAAATGACCTTCACAGAATTAGAAATTCTTGTTAAAATAATATTTATTTATTATTAATGAATTTATTATAAAAATACTATACTGTACTACTTATAATTAATTAAACATAATTACGGTAGCATGAACATTATCTAATAGTTTCAAATTAAATAATCATAATTCTTAATAGAACTAGTTTATACTTAAAAATTACTGTATTAATTGTTCCTGCTAAGTAATTTACTAATTGTACAAGAATAAAGTTTACAAATCGCATAGATGTTTATAGATAATTTTATTTTGATAATTTATACGCTTAATTAAAATTACTGTACAGTTAGTTCTCTAATAATTTACTTTTGATATAATTAATAATTTATTTAAAATACAATTGGAATGAACATATAAATAATTAATTTGTTTTTTATACACATATTTGTCAAAAGCAGTCAATAGTTGGGTGCGATCTTTGGTTGAAGTGTTGGTCGCAATGAATGGACAAAACAAATATTTTTAGACTAATTTGTTAACAATTTGTTATAAAATATCTTCACAATTGTAATCAAAGTGGTGCTAAATATAAATATACAGTAATTGTAAAAATTAATTAATTACAAAAATTTTGCCACATTTTTGGCCTAATATATCATTACAATATGACTTTTAGTGACAAAAACACTTCAAAAATCACTATAGCTTTTGTCACATTTAACTGAAAGCTTTTATTTTCATAT